TAAATACATTGTATAAAATTACCTATGAGGGGCCGGCAGGAAGTGTGGTGGTTCAGAACACTGGACTCCCACATGGCCGACCACGATCTGAGTCTTGGCTAGTTTTCTTTCTCTCCCTCTCTCTCACTCTATCCCTCTCTAGTCAAAATTTTAAAATAAAGGGGCCAGCAGATGTCATGATGGCTATGTCGCTGGACTCCCACGTAGTAGACCGTGGTTCGAATACTGGACCTGATAGCGAGAAATCACCCCCCCCCCAGAGGGGATGGCCACACTGCAATCCCTTCTCCGTTCTCCTCTCGGGATCTTAGGGATTGTATGCACATGTGCCTGGCATGAGTTTAAGCCACCGGGTCTGGGACTTGAACTGTGGTGGACTACATGGGAGTCCAGCGACATAGCCATTACACCAACTGCTGGTCCCTAAATAAAATAATTCTTAAAAAAAATAAAATTGCCTATAGGCTGTGTGTATAAGGTATACATGAAACATAAATGAGTTTGTGTTTAGACTTGAGTCCCATCTTCAATTGAGATAGTTCATCATATATATGTATTACAAAACTTGAAATAGTCAACATCCAAAACACTTCTAGTCCCAAGCATTCTGAATAAAGTTTCTGGTGCATGTTTGGGAATGAATAAGCCGGAGCCCCAGGAATGGGAAGCGCAGAGGGGACAGGGCGTTGGTGGGGAGTTTGTGTTTGTGTCTGTCGCTGGAATACGGGGATGTGGGAGTCAGGCATCCTTTGACCTTTCTTCAAAGGGGCAGAGATTTGGGTCTGGTAGGGCATGGGCTGTGCTTGCCCAGCGTGGCCTCGTTTCTTTTCTTTTTTTTTAAGATAGATTTTTGCTACAGGGTGTGCGTGATTGCTGGAGAGACAGAGACAGAAACTACCCCAAGAGAGGATGGCCACGCCACAACCGCTTCTCCTCTCAGGATTTTGGGCACACGTGCCCAGCGTTTATTTAAACCGCCTGGTCCAGGACTCAAACTGTGGTCTACTGTGAAGGAGTTCAGCGACTTAACCATGATACCACCAGTTGGTCCCAGCATTCACATGTTTCAGAGATCAAGGAGGAGGCACCCGGGTTTTATTTTCTTTCTTTTTTTTGAGAGGTTTTTGCTATAGGGCGCATGCGCTCGCCAGACAGAGAGAGACAGAGAGACAGAAAGCGAGAAATCACCCCTCAGGGGGGATGGCCACGCCGCAATCCCTTCTCCTCCATTCTCCTCTTGGGATCTTGGGCACGCACACGCCCCCACACCCGGCGTGAGTTTAAGCTGCCAGGTCCGGGACTCGAACCGCGGTCGACTACATGGGAGTCCAGTGACATAGCCATTACGCTAACTGCTGGTCCCAACCCGGGTTTTGTGGTGCCAGATTGCAAGGGACTAAGGAGTGAATAAACGGAGTGGAAGTGAGAGCTGCTCGTCATGTCCAAGGCCATCACTGTCAAAGACAGCGGGACTAGCAGTTGGCGTAATGGCTATGTCGCTGGACTGGCAGGTCTGTGGATGGGGAGGAGTTGAGAACGGTCATGTGCCCTGTGAGAGATCAGGCTTGTCTTTAAGCAAGGCTGCAGCAGCCGAGACCTGTGCCCTCGGGGATGCCAGTGACACACTGCGCTGGCTTCCACTCAGGCTGTGATGGGGACAGCCAGCCCAGGGGAGGGAAGCCCATCTCTGCTGAGCTCCTCCTCCCCGCTCTTCACCCCTCACCCTGGCTACAGGGGAGCAGGGCTCGGTTTGGCCCGCCCCACTGAGATGTGCCAGAGCCCAGCTCCCTGCTCTCCAAAAAATCCTTCCCTCACCTCTTCAGCTCCTTCTCGGTCTCCTGGAGGGTCTTTTATTCTCTTCTCTAAGCCCCACCTGTGGCTCCAACTGCCAAGTAGCCCAAACCTACCTCTCCAGCCCAGACCCCTTCCTGTCTTGGGCTCCCGCAACTGCTCCTTGCACCAACCACCACCACCAAGCTGGGGTACGAGACTCCCAAATTCCGTGCACACCACATCAACACTCTTCAGTAGCTCTTCTTCCATTGTCTCTTGCCACCAAAGAAAGCCAGGACTCCTCCCTCGCCCGACATGTCCCAACGAGCAGACTCTTCCTCCCAAATCTGAATTTCTTCCCCCCTTCATTACTTGCACCCACCTTCAAGCAGAGCCTCCTCCTCTGGGCAGTTCTATCAGCCCCAATGGGTGAAGTGTCCAGCCTCTCCACTCTCCTGCTCCCTCTAACCTTAACCACAAACACCCCAAGTCCTCTGTGGGAAGCCCTCACCGTCCCCAGGGCTAACAGGCGACTTGGCCCCTGGTCCCTTCCCACCTCCTCTGCACCCCATCCTGTCCTTACCCATAGGTCCTTCACCTACTTCCTTCCTTCCCAGTGTTTAAGGCTTGGCATCTACCTCCTCACGACTAGAGCACCCACGCCTTGTTTATTTCAACTGCCAGAAGGCTCGTGTGCTTGCTAAAGAGAGAGATGGAGAGGGAGAGAGCACCCCCTTATGAGGAGCAGTCATCGTCAATCTTTTTTCCTCCATTGCTCCATCCTGCTAGGATGTGGGGCACGCAAGCACGCATCCAGTAAATTTCTCGAAACTAAACTTGAAGGTTGGCCACGTGGGTCAGGGCACATGCACTCACCAAAGTGAGAAATCACCTCCCAGCGGGTGGCCATACCACGTCCTGCCCTCCATGCTCCTCTTGGGATTTTGGGCATGCACACAATGCACCCCGTGTGTTTCAAGCCACCAGGTCTGGGACTCGAACTGTGGTGAGTCATGTGGAAGTCTAGCACCTTACTCACTACAGCACCTGCTGGCCGCAGGACCCAGCTCCCTTAACCACTAGGCCATGGGCTGGCTCCAACTCCTTGTTTTTATTTACCTATTATTTGCTGTCTTTTTTTTTTTTTTTTTTTTTGAGAGATTTTTGCTGTAGAGTACATGCACTCGCTAGACAGAAAGTGAGAAATCACATCTGGGGGGATGGCCACCCCACAATCCCTTCTCCTCCTGGGATTTTGTACATGCATGCACACAACTGGCATGATTTTCAAGTCACTGGGTGTGGACTCGAATCTTGTTTGGCCATGTGGGAGTCTAGTGATGCACCTGGTACACCATCTACTGGCAGAGACAGACACAGACAGACAGAAAGTGAGAAATCACCTCCAAGGGGGAATGGCCAGGCCACAATCCCTCCTCCTTCATTCTCCTCTTGGGGCCTTGGGCGCGCATGCACACGCACCCAGCGTGTTTTCAGCTGCCAGGTCTGGGACTCAAACTGAGGTAGACTATGTGGGAGTCGAGTGATGAAACCATGCCATTTGCTGGTCCCCTGTTGTTTTTTGTAGAGGTTTGTGCTATAGGGCCTGTGCTCGCCAGAAAGACAAGAGAGACAGAGAGGGGGGAATCCCCCCCCCAGGGGGCGTGGTCACACTGCGCTCCCTTCTCTTCCATTCTCTTCTTGGGATCTTGGGCATGCACGCACACGTGCCCGGCGTGAGTTTTAAGCCAGTGGGTCCAGGACTGGAACTGCAGTAGACTACATGGGAGTCCAGCGACATAACCATTATGCCAACTCCTAGTCCCTCCCCGTTGTGATTTTTAAGCTGCCAAACTGAAACACCGTGGCTATGTGAGAATCCAGAACCTTAACCACCATGCTACCTGCTGGTCCCACATTTCCTTGTTTTTAAAATCAGTAAATAAATGGAAAGACTTGAACATGTCTCTCACTTTTCTTGTACAAACTGCAACCTCAGACTAAGTAAATTATGACTGGGAAAAACACTTTTCTATTTCAGTCAGTCAGTTTAGAAAATTGGGGAAATATGACCAGTATTAAGAGTTTTGGGGGACCTGGGACTGGTAGGTAGTGTGGTGGTTAAAGGCGCTGGACTCCCACATGGCCGACCATGGTTCAAATCCTGGACCTGGTGGCTTGCTTTCTTGCTTTCCTTTCCCTCTCTTCTCTTTGATCAAAATGGAAAATAATAATGATGATGATAAAGTTAAATAAAACAATTCTTTAAAAAAATGTTTTTTGGGGGACCAGGTGATGGCAAATGGTTATATCACCAGACTCTCATGTGGTCGACCAGTTCAAGTCACAGAACCAGCGGCTTAAAACTCACTCCGGGTGCATACACATGAGAGCCCACAATCCCAAGAGAATGTAAGAGTGGCCATCCCACCTGGGGGGCGATTTCTTATTCTATCCGGCAAGTGCACATGCCCTATAGCAAAAATCTCTCAAAAAAAATTTTTTTTGGGGGGGGAAGAGCAGATGGCCTGATGGTTACATGGCTGGACTCCCACATAGTTTACCTTGGTTCGAGTCCCAGAACCAGCAGCTTCAAATTCACACTGTGTGTATGTGTGTGTCCAAGATCCCAAGAGGAGAAGGGATTGCAACATGGCCATCCTCCCTGGGGGGTGATTTCTCACTTTCTGTCTCTCTGGCAAGCACACATATTCTATAGCAAAAATCTCTCTTAAAAAACAAAAAACACTTTTTTTAAAGCCCAAAAAGTTTGGGAACCAGCAGTTAGCGTAATGGCTATGTCGCTGAACTCCTATGTAGTTGACTGCGGTTCGCGTCCTGGACCCGGTGGCTTAAAACTCACACCGGGAGCGTGTGCGTGCGTGCCCAAGATCCCAAGAGGAGAATGGAGGAGAAGGGATTGCGGCGTGACCATCCCCCTTGGGGGGGGGTGATTTCTCACTTTCTGTCTCTAATGTCTCTGTCTGTCTGGCAAGCACACGTGCCCTATAGCGAAAACCTCTCCAAACAAAACAAAACAAAACAAAAAAAAAACCCAAAACCCAAAAGTTCAAAGTCCTGGGATCCTGAGGCAAGGCCTGTTCCATCCTCTGAGCTTGGTGCCCAGTGGTTGCTTAACGATGTCGATGGAATGAATGCCGCTCTCAAGGTGGGCAGCTGCAAGCTAGTGGCTCCCAAGATGCTCTTCATAGCCCATGAAAACGGAAGATGCCCCAGGGCCCTGAAGAGGGCTGAACTTTGTCCTCTGGGAAAGAACTCAGGGCTCACTTTGCTGCATCCCAGGCAGCTGCCCACCTTGCTCAGAAGCATCCCCCAGCTCTGAGGGCATCCCATTTTCATCCTTAGAGCTGAACTTCACCCTCCACCCCAACCCATCCTCGGATACCAGGTGCGTACACATGCACACACACACACAGAAAGCTGCAGAGGGTAACTTTAATAAGGCGCGGGTGGACTCTCGTGTCTCGGCGTTAAAGATCGAAGAGGAAAGGTATCACATCTGTAAGAAAAAGAAAGTTTGGGACCAGCAGTTAGTGTAATGGTTATGTTGCTGGACTCCCATGTAGTAGACCGCAGTTTGAGTCCCAGACCTGGTAGCTTAAACTCAAGCCGGGCACGTGTGTGTATGTGCCCAAGATCCCAAGA